TAACATTTGGGGTCAGATAAATCTTTGTTGTAAAGGCTATGCTGTACATTATAGGATGTTTAGTAGCACCCTGGCCTCCATCCACTACATGCCAGCAGCCCATGAGCTGCCACCCCCACCCCCCAGTTGTGACAACCAAAAATGTCTTAAGGCATTGCCAAATGTCCCCTGGGGGGTATAGTCACCCTTGAGAACTATTAATGAGAACTACCACCTTACAGGTTATTTTAACAGTATTAGCTTCCTGAAATTGCTCCAGTAATGGAATTTTGGAATACAGTGTAGGAACTTTTTATGTAAAGAACCAGATAGTAAATATTTTAGGCTTTGTGAGCCACATACACTCTCTGCTGCATAGTCTTTGTTTTTGTTTTGTTTCATTTAAAATCTTTTAAAAATGCAAAAACTCATTCTAAGCTCAAAATTAAGCCGGAATTTGCTGATCCTTAGACTGGTAGAGGAAAAAGTGATGGTGATTACCATAATGATTGAAAGTGTTGAGAGAGTATTTGGAAAAACTGGGATCTTGATCCAGCTACTGGGTCTCTGTGACCCTGAGCTGGCAGTTATGCTGCCCTTCTTGGAAAGCCTGAATCAAATAACTCCAAGTTAAATTCCATTAACCTTGTTTGCAACTTAGTTCTGTCTAATGTATTTAAACATAAAAGGTTTAAATAAAACAAAAACTTGATATTTGAACAAAATGAGATTCCCTAGTAAATGGAAGAATGTTTGTTTTGTTAGGATGTGTCTTCTCCTTAGTTTGGAATAAAATATCCTATGAGGTTCCTCTGAATAAGAGAGCATTGTATAAAGGAAATGTCTTCACCAAATTTTAAAACTGAAATATGCTTTGATATGCCTGCAGCGGTTATCAAGGAAGGAAGAAGTGTATCTTGGAAAAAAGAGAAGCCTAGAAACTGCCTGTAAAATTACAGAAATAAAAATGTCATTTTGAAAATACATTTCAAAGTAGTTTCTATGGAAATTTCCTTACTCATTACATAAATGTCTGAGTAAATTAGGGAAGGTCCGTCCAACAAGTATTTTATTGAGTGGCTACTGTGTGCCAGTGTGAGGCACTAGAGTTGGACCCACCTGGACTCTGCCAATGACCAGCACTCAAAAAGGAAACAGCTACGTTCAATCATACAGAGATTGTTCCAGTAAAATTTGCTATCTTTCTGACTTTGTATATTGCTAATTACAAATATCTTATGCTTTGCTTTGGGCATTTCGAGTTTCTATATGTCTATTTTAATTGACACCAGACAGAGTCAGTCAAAAAGATGTCCTTATGATCCAATTACCACTGTTAGAACAATGGTGTGGGATGGGATGTAAGACATTGGTCAAGTATACTGCATCTAGATAACGAAAACATATTTTTAAATCATTCAAATAGTTTATTATATGACAGTCAGTAAATTATAATGAAAAGAGCACTGGACTTGGAGTCTAAAACCCCGGGTCCCAATCCTGGTTCTGTCCTTATCTTTTTTTTCCATGGACAGGTCAATTAACTTCCAAGGAGCAATTTTCTCATCTGTAAAATGGTATAACAGTGCTTTTCCTGGTTTACTGTATTTAAACATACTGTCTGTTTATAACCTATAAAGTGCTGTAAAGGTGATATGATTATCACTAGGACTGGGTTAAACTCTGGTTTTGCTCTACACGAATGATTCCGGAATAAATCAAGTATTGTCTTGGTCACAGCCCAGATCAATTATCAACAAGACCTTCTTACACTCATTTTGGGTGATCACAAAGAAACATATCCACAAAAGCTTGTGAGGCCCTACTTTGAAATTTGCTCTGAGTTGAACATCATAGATTTTCTGTTAAAATATATAATGAGCTTAATTTAATTTTCTAGTGAAATGAAGACTTTTGAGATCAACATTTATTTAAAGAGGTTTAGAAATTAATGGTTGAAACCTTACCAGCACCACCAGATCCTACCCACTTTTGCCCAAAATTATATCTCTGCCCTGTAGCCTTCAGAGGAAACCATTGCTAGGGAGAGCCACCTCCTCACAGTTTGGGGTCAAATTCTGTTACAGAGTCAGAGCATATAGTAATCATATCACTTGTGCAAATTTGGAAAAGTTTCTCCATTTCAAACTTAGATGTTTTCTTCTATGACACTCTCAATTGCATTTAAAAAGAAGTCAACCTGGTTTTTCATTTTTTAATCATCATACCCTCCCAGTCTTGGGACTAATAACCCAAGAAGGATATCCTTTGTTGAATAGGCACAACACCAAACTCCAAAACATACAAGGACAGGTCTATTCTTCATGCTTGAAGCAGCACACCACACAGCTCTACAAGTTACTGCCTCTAGTTTTGCAGTGGGGTCTGAGAAAGCCTCAAACCCTGCTACCTGACACGCTGTCCACTACACTTCACTTCAAATGTGATGCCATAAAACAGGCAGGTACTCTGTGGTGCGTGTACAGTGTTAACTGTTAGTGCTGTCCTTGATGCCAGTAAGGAAGTATCAGAATAACACTAGTAATGGCAGTAACAGTGGCTCTTTCACTCCTAACACCTTTTGTAAAGGACAAGTCATCATGTCTCTAAATGGAAAAAAAAAAAAAAGAAAGAAAGAAAGAAAGAAATGGTGTGCTCACTCCCACACTTTACATTACCATGACTACTGAAGGTCCATTTTCCTGTCCCCCATCTCTAACCTATCATAATTAGGGGTTGAATGTAGAAAAGAAATGGATATATAAATTAAAGTCACAGGCAATTCTCTCGGTTTCATAGGTTTGGCTTCTTATAAGCTGTATGAACTCACTTGACCAGAGATCATAAGCTAGAAATGAGTTCTGATCACTATTAGGCTTGGTTTTTATTTTACTCAGACACCTAGAACATGAAAAACCATGCCATTTCTTAAAACAATCCACTGACTCCAGCACTGTCCTTTAAAGTTGCCCTTTAGACATGCAGGCAAAACCAGCCTCCTGCTCTCCAGTCCTAATCTTCTTTTATAACACTGTTTTCTGTTCTGAACTGATCAAAATCAAATAGGGGAGAAAGAATCCAGTTGAAAAAAGATCTGATGTGCCTGTTGATGTCTCATTAACCTTGAGAGTGAATGTAACTGGTGACTGCCTGTCACAGTGGCGTAATGGTTTGTTAGGGAAACAAAGCCAGTGGAAACATCACACACACACACACACACACACACACACACACACACACACACACACACACACACCACACCACACACACACAAAGAGAAACATCACTTAGGACATCATCTTTCAAAAGATGGGGCATTTCCAACTGTTAGAACTGGCTAAATCGTTCTTTTAAGCCCATGATGAATTTACTACATGTTTTCTTGGAAAAGCATTTGCAGCAGTATTTATCTGTGTGTCAAAATATGTTCACCAAAGTATTGAGAAAAAGAAAAAAAAAACAACACAACACTTCGATCTTGGAAGTATAATCGTGAGAAAAGCAAACATCTCAGAGCTAACACTACTAAGGTTCTGTGATGAGTGAATGTATGATTTTTGTGCCATTAAAAATATCATGAGCCACTCAGTGTGGGAAGGTCCTAATTCCATTGAGCCCTTAGTCAGATTTCCCTCATTACTAATTGCCAATTGATAACATGTCAACAAATAGAGGAACAGAAAAAATAGAGAAAAATAAAAGAGGAAAATAAGCTTGTCTCTAGGGATAAACTGCTATGTGTAGAGGAAAAGAGGAGAGTTCACCAGGTTCCCTGGCAGACTCCCCTTGGAACAAGTCGCCTAGAAATCCGACCAGCCTCTGGTCCAGATCCGGACCAGAGACCCACAGAAAACCAGCACCTTTCATCCCTTCGCACCCGGGGGTTCCCAGCTGGGACTGGTTCTCGTCTCCCCTCCCTTGAGGAGAACCTTAAGTAAACAAGCCCCACAATCTCCACCAGGGATTCACATGGAACATTCTCACCTATTTTTGCTTTCCCCTCCCGCGGTTTCCACTTTTCCATCTCTAGTCCTCACTCCTCTGCTTGGGAACTTCCCGGAAAGTTACCACCATTAACCTCACTTTTTCCATCAAATTCCCACTTCGGGCTGATGGTACAACCGGTTTCTGTGAGTATCACCCTCTAACCAGCTTCTAGGTTTCCTGTGCTCTTCTCAGGGCCACACAGTTTGGCTTCTGTCCTTATCCTTCTGGCTCTGCCCCTCACCCCTATGCTCAAATGCACCCAAATCAAAGTGGATCGATCAGTTCCCTCTTTTCCCCAAAGAAGTTTAGTTTTTGCATTTCAGAGGAGAGGAGCTACTGTGGAAGGTGAACTAACTGCGAATTACAAACATTACAAACATCGTTCCCTACCCCAGAAGGCAGAGATGGCTACCTCGCTTCGGGGGAAGAGGTCAGCAAGGCAGCCCCCGGTCCTCACCAGGGACCACACTTGTTTGTGGCGGGTGGGAGGCATTTGCCTCACCTTCCCACTTCACATTCCTCTGCCTCCTCCCAAGCCCCCTCCCCCCAGCAGCCTTTCCTCAAACACTCTAGGGGCCAGAGGAAGGGAGAAAAATTGGGAGACTGGGAGGAGTGGCTCTGCATCCCCTCCAAGCATAGTATTTCGTTCTCAAGTAGCAGGACTTTCTAGAATGTCTTCTCTCATTTTTCTCCTTCCTGGCCCACTTACCCCAAAGCTTCCCCGCCCCCAAACCCACTGCGACCAAAACAAGCGCACCGTAGCACCGTGGCCACCGCCGCCCCAACTGTTGCAGCAGCTGCGGGCTGGCGGCGGAGGCGGCGCGGGCAGGGCCGGGCCCGGACCCGGACGCTCCCTGCCCAGGAGGCTGGGAGACTCGGGGCGGCCGCTCAGGGGCGCGCGGTGCAGGGGAGCCCCTGCGGCAGCCGCCTGGTATAGGAAAGGCGGTGCTCTCTGCACCGGGACCCCGGCGCGGAGCCCGCCCGGCCGCTGCAGCCGCGCCGGCGGAGGTTGCCTGCACCCGCCCCCCTCTCACCTTTAAGATCAGGTCTGTGTGATGCTGGTCCAGCATGTTGGCTTTCTGGAAGGAGGTGACGATGACCCGGCCGTAGCGCCCGGGGGTCTGCAGGTCCGAGTAGAGCCGGTGCTTGGAGCGGTTGACCGGGAAGAGGCTGTTGACGAGGTTGCGCTCAATCTTGGCCAGGCTGTGCTGGGGCGCCAGCAGGTGCTCCACGCTCTCCTCGACCTGGTAGCGGCTGAAGCTGGCGCCGAGCAGGATGGAGATGAGCACCGGCGCCGAGGCGAAGAAGACCGGGTGACTGGCAATGAAGTGGCCGAGCCGGGAGAAACACGTCCTCAAG